AAAATGCATATGTCTAGACCAAAATGGTATAAAAATTTCAAATTCTACTTTGAAATTTTGTGATAAACATCATTTTCTATCACTGATATTCATAACCACAATTTAATAGTAAATGTTTCCTTTGGGGTTTCATAGCAATGAATAAATCGCTCTTAAAGTCTGTTGACTTCAAGTGGTATTTTAAAGTGACCACAGTTTAAAATTTACAATTTAAATGTCAACATTTCAGAAAAAGAGTGTAGCTGATTTGGCTTATAGGTCCATGATTTCTGAAGTGAAACCACTGAGTAGGCTGAGAAACCTAATGATTAATTGTAAAGTCACTCTATTTTTCAAAAAAAAAATTCATATAGATAAAACTACAAGAAAAAAAAGTACCAGCGCAATAAGAACAAAACAAGTTTTCCTTACCTAGAGGATCTGAAGAAATTCTTTTAGTACTCCGTGGACGGTTGATTAATTTTTTATGCTATTGGGGAAAGAGACACAGAATAAGCAGAAGAGATCATTAATTTGTGAGCAAGCTATAAACAAAAATCCATCTGAACCTTACCCCTTTGATGAGTGTACTGAATTGCCTACCTGGCAAAATTAGTGTGTTTGTGGCCTAGTGCTCTGCATTACTTTCCTGAGATAAGGCAAAAGTCTCTCAGCAAGTCTCTCAGCAAATTTACATTTAGGGATATGCATTCAAATGTTATTATAGTGTGCACATTAAGTTGGAATCAACATCTCCATCTGTTGAGAACACAGAACAAATGACCTTTCTGCAACTGATTGGTATCTGGTAAAAGCCCAGAGGAGCAGAAACAGGTCCTTAGCACTCACCACAGGGCCTCCGGAGGGGGCTCAGGTGATAGGTTTTGTGGCTAAAGGAGTGAATCTGTGTGCATACGTGATGTTTAAAATAAGTCTCTGAGCAGATATTTTATCTTAAGACAGTTTTGTCAATTGTCCACATACTGTTTTTCTACAGTCTGCAGAACAGTTTGTTCTCACTTAATAGAGTAAAATAACAAATGTCTGGATTTGGAAATGTTTTCAGCCGCTAGACAATTGATTTGTCTCCCCATTCTCAGCTCTGAAATGTGACTATGAAATACACACACAAGTTCTGCCTGGATGTGCAAGGGGTTAAGTCTCAGCACTATGAAGCTATCAGTAGCCACTGAAGCACAAGTTGATCCCTGCCCAGGGAGGTGATCCACCTCCAAGGAAAGGTGGGTGATCCACCCAAGGTGCAGCAGACCTCTCCTGAACCGCTTGCTGCTCCCCTCAACAGTGTATTTCTGTAGATTCTTCTGTTATGCTCCACAGTCTGTCTCTGGTGAAGCCTCTTACTGCACATACCTTTGGTCTAAACCCCAGTTCTTCTATGCAAAAATAAATATAAATAAAAATCTTTTTAAAAAGTTTACATCACATCAATAGATGTAAGAATAATGGAGATGCTCTAAGCTAATGCTGGCTCGCTGGCTGGTTCATAACAAACACTCAATACCAGCTGATTGAATCTGAATATTACATTTTATAGGTATTCTTGTCATAGGCATTATATAAACAGGGATGTAAAATTTCCATTAAGAAAACTTAATAAGAATAGATTAAGAAACAACTTAAGTTCAAGCATTAAATCAATACAGTAGCAGTGAGGGAAAAAACAGACTCTTCACACATCAGCTTTCTGCTTAAACCTTTCAAAAAAGTTGGAAGCATCAATCTGGATAGTGCAGCGGATTCTATCATTTCCAGAAAAAATATACATGGTCTGGACTGAGCCTGGGCAAAGTGGTGCCCGTAGAATAAATAATCCCCCCACCCAGTCATCAATTCTCAACAGATGTCTCGTAGCATCTTGCCACACTGAGAGTGATTCTAGTGTGTTTCAGTATCTATATTTTCACATCCATGGAAATTAAAGCCTTCTTTACCTGGAATACATCAGTAAAATCAGTGAATGTTTACAACCCCTGACTCTTAGAAGAGTAGACATTATGCTGATCTCCTACGTGGCATCTTCATCAGAGACTCTCAGTGCTTCCATTCTTCTCCTTCTAGTTCTTTCTCCCTCCTCCATTTCTTCCCCTTCTTTGCTATTTTCTGTTTTGTCCCAACTTCTGTGACCGGCCGCAAGAAAGGAAGGCAGGAGGCAGAAAGGCTGAGCAAGCAGAGTTTATTGCTCCCAGACAGCAGCTGAGACGGAGCCCCTAGAGTGGGGTCTGCAGCTACTGCCAACTCAATAAGGGGGCAGGGTCTCTTATATAGGTCCTAAGCTCAGATTTCAAAGGGGTGACTCATCGCTATTTCCTTGATGTAAGGCCCAGTTCGTTATCACCTTCATCTAGTCCCATCCCAATGCAAGGACCCGTTAATTAGATGCAAGGCCCAATTTATTACCAGCTTATCACCTTTGGATGCAAGGCCTGATTTATTATTGCCCTTATCCAGTCCCTCAGTAAATCTCCGCATTTGGTCACTCCCAACATTTTCTATGCAACATTTTTCTTGCACACTTCCTCTAAACTCTCACTGTTCTCAGCGTCAGCTTCAAGTCAAACAGAGAAGCTGCTCTTGGCCTTTGCAGGGTCCCTCCCACCGATGACCCTGTCTGCATGTGGCTCCCTCGTTGTGTCATCAGTGGAACTGACTCACATCCAGACTTTTCTCCGTGGTCCTCTCTTCCCTTCTTCACATCCAGAGTTCTGTTGCATCTTCTCATGGTCTACTATTTGCTAAAGGAAGACTTGTTACTCCTCTCAGGTAACCTGTCATGGCAATAGTCTTTGCTTTATTTTGTAGAGTGTGATTTCTTAAATGTCACTTTCAATATATGTCACTCGTCAGGAGATTGTTAGGCAAATCTGAACTGGCTCTCCAGCTCTCTCCACTATCTCAATACACACCTACCTTATAAAAGGAAGTAGTGTGGTTTATGCAGCAGTTTCCCTTTATTGTAAGACTTTCCAGGGAAATGGTATAAAGGCATCAGTAACTCAGCTGTGTACAGTTGTGTCGTATTCATGCTGCTAAATACAACACAGGTCTTAGTGCCTTCAAAGTGGTTTACAATGCAAACAAAGATAGGCACTTAACCTGAAAGTGTATTTACACTTTACAGACCACTGTTTGTTTTTAAAGATTTTTATTTATTCATGCATATAAGAACTGGGGTACAGGCCAGAGGTATGGGGTTGGGGAGTAAGAGGATTCATCAGAAACAGAGTGGGGAGCAGAACAGACAGACTGATTAAAATACACTGCTGAGGGGAGCAGTGGGCTAGGCAGGAGAGGTTTGTTGCCCCATGTGGGTCACTCCCTTGGCTGGGGGTTGAATTCATGCTGCAGTGGTTGTGTAACTGGGTGGTCCCTAGGAGAAGGGAAGTTCCAGGTTCCCTGCCCCACCCAGAAGGAGGGTGGAACTGAGCAGAGAAAAAGGAGAGAGAAGAAGAGAGAAGGAAGGCAGATGGAGGAGACCTAAGGAAGCCACATGGAGCAGCAAACATGTGATGAAGAATCCGGGCTTGTTTCCTGACCCTGGACTGGTTAAGGCAGATGTGGGTGAGATACCTGTAGGGAGGTGACTATGGCAGTGTTTATATTGATTTTGATTTTGCTCTTTTCCTCTCAGATTTGTCTGGCCATTTCTGACCCTTTTCCATGGGTCCCGGCCAGAAGGTGCTTTAGTCTTGTGGCAGGCTTTCAGGCCTTGCTTTGGGCCAATCCCTTTTGGGTTGACTTTTGCCCACGAGGGGATGGGTAACTTCAGGTGTTTGATTTAGAAGATACATTCTCTGTGTTCCGTATTGTATATTCACTGTATTAAAGTCACTTTTCATTAAAGCTTTATATGTTTTGTTTTGTTGCGGCGGATGGCAGAACCCACTTAGAGCAGGCAGGTTTTGGGGCTTCAGGGGTGCCTCTCTCTGAATTGAGGTGCCCTATAACAGTTGTGGATAGGTACACAGTGCTGCACTTTAACCCACTTCACCTCTGGGGAGGGCCCTACAGGCCATTATTAAGAGTCCTTTGATTGCTTACAATTCTGTCCCTTAAATACAGATCTGTTATTAAACTCTTAAAATTTAGCAAGCTACTTTTAGTTGAGTTCATACACGTGTGATGTTTGTGTATAGCCTCCCCTACCGCCCAGAAATAACTTGGGCATATTAGTCTTATTACCCAATGTTACTTTACACAGAAATTCCAAGTTTCCCTTGGTTGGGCACTTTCTCCACTCCTAGAAGCAGCCACGATCAGGGTTGACATTTCCTGTTAGAGTCTATGTCTTTTTGAGTGTCAAGGAGTTATCTCATTCCTGTGTAAGTTCATTCTTTACAATGCTTGATGGTAATGAACATATTGGTTAATTATCATTTTAATTTAATGATGATATCTTCTCTTGACTTGAATGATCTACTTCATCTCTCATGATAGTTTCAAGGAACTAGTTGAATTTTTATCTTTATTATCAACTACTCTGGTTTCTGGATTCTTATTTGGGAATTTATATGCTATCACTCAGTTTACCTTTTACCTTAAAATTGCCTGTTGCCTAACAAATGCTATTCATATACACCTGTTTTTCCTCCCCAGTTAGACTTTCAATACTCTATTGTATCTTTTTTCTCTTTTCTTCAAGCAAATAATACTTTTCTTCATAATATAAATTATTTTCTCATAGTAGGATTTTAGCCTCAAGTATTTGTCAATTCTGCTATACAAATGAACTTAGGAATGGACAATTATTGAAACACAAAAATACCAATTCCCCTGCCCTCTGTAAGTACTTGCTAGTCCTGAGAACCTTCTGTGGATAATAGTAAGGATTGTTATCACCATGCCCTTAAGGCATGCAATTTCAGGGCTGTTTATCAAAGGCTTTTGTATCCCTGAAGACTTCTTCCACTATTCCCTACAGAAAACACTTCAAACCTTAAGGGATCTTTGCAAGACCTCTACCTCACCCCTACTTACCACTCTCTCAGCAAAGGAAGTTACTTTTTACTCACCAAGAGATAGAGCAATAGTTCTTAAACCTTTCTGTTCTCAAAGATGAAATTGAATAAAAGGCAAAAAAAAAAAAACCAAACTCACACTTTCAAAATTTATTGGTCTCACATAAGGTCACACTTAGAACAAGCAAACTGGGCCCTACCCTGTAGTGCAAGGAGTTAAACACAACACTATGAAGCTATCACAGCCACTGCAGCATGAGTTCAATCCCGGGCCAACGAGATGACCCACAGACCTCTCCTGTGTGTGCCCACTGCTACCCTCAGCAATGTATGCATTTCAGTAGATCTGCCTTTTCTGCTCCCCACTCTGTTTCTGAATTCCCCCCCCCCACACACACACACAGTAAGTATGTAAAGAACAAGCAAAACTAGAAGCATGGTGGTTGCACTTAAAATATACCATCAAGTAGAACCTATATCAGTTATCAATTTGCACCCAAAGAATTATCTTCAC